CAGCTTTTCCCTCGTCTCAGCCGCCGACACACCCTCTTCTCGGGCGGAGGAGATCATCTGAAAAGGGAAAAAAAAAAGAAGGCAAAACACCGCTTCTTATGGCTCCACAATTTTGGAAGAAAAGTCAAAGTTCTACAACTTTCTTGCAACTTTGCTAATGTATGCTCAGAATGGGAGCTAAAAGTTGCGGGAAGAGTTTTGCAACTTTGTCCCCGGAGCGAAAAGCTATAATCTGGTCCAAAAGTTTTGCAACTTTTCCTCCGCCCGGGCGGAGGAGATCATCTGAGAAAAAAACAAAAAAGGTATCGTCGGGCTATAAGGTTCTTGCTATTATTTTCTAAATACTTCGACTCAACGAAGTTCATCCCTATTATTTACAAAAAGTTTGAAGTTATTTCTTGGACATATTTTTTCAACGGAATCAACGACCCAAAAAAGCCGCTGACACACCCTCTTCTCGGGCGGAGATCATCAGAAAAAAAGAAACAAATGACATCACGCCGATTTGTATGGCTCCACAAAAAAAGTTGCAGAACTTCAACTTTTCTTGCAACTTTGCTAGTGTACGCTCAGTATGGGAGATAAAAGTTGCGCCAAAACTTTTGCAACTTTGTCTCCGCGCGCGAGAAGCTGCAATCTGGCGGCAAAGTTTGCAACTTTTCCTCTTCTCGGGCGGAGGAGATCATGTGAAAAAAAAAAAAAGAAGGCATCACAAGCACAGAAAATAGAGGCTCCGATATAAGAGGGTGGAGTCACAAACGGCCTCGACCCTCATATTTCGACAAACCCCGTCCTACATGGGAACGAGATAACACCTAACGATACTATAGAGGGTCGAATCCGTGACAACAAATTTCCACCCTCATATGGCGGAGGCCCCTCTGATAAGGTACCATCACATCGGAGCCACGACAGTACAGTTATACATGCCCCTGAAAATAGAGCCAGTCCCAGCGACTTTAGGCGGCCCTAGCGCGCACCACCGGTGTTCGCGAGCCCCACACGTAACGGGTACTGTACCGACGGGTCCTCTGCGTGCCATGAGGAAGAAAGTGCTAGAAAAAACGCTCTCGCAGCAGAGAAAAAACAACGAAAGCTGAAATGCTACATGTGCATGTATCCTGATAAAGAGTGAAAAAAAACACATCCAACGTAAAAGGGATCGTTTCAGCAACCTTTTGATCAGGGAGTTTCATCCAATTTTGTAGCACGAGGCATCAAGAGAACTTTTGGGGGGAAGGGAAGGCGTTGCCATGGAGAGACTCGGTAAGCGCTCACATCGCAAAGCTTGGAGCCGGACCCCGTCGTGGTGAGCGTCTTTTCGGTGTGCTTGTTGCGGAGGTCTTCGACGTGGTTCCCGAACCGGTCCACTGCCGTCAAGTCTGCTCCAGACTCCACCTTTGAGCACAACAAGAAACATCGCGGGTCGTCGTCGTTGTTGTTGTCGTTGTCGTTGTCGTTGCCGTGGTTGGTGGGTGTCTTTGTTGTAGGCATCGAGCGCGCGAACCGGCTGACCAATGAAAAGGCGTCAGTCTCCATGCGGTTGGAAACACGAAAGTGCGCCTAGTGGCCACAATCTGGGACCCTGTGACCGAGCGCGCGCGCGTGTGTGTGTGTGTGTGTCTCTGTGTGTGTTTTCGTTACTAGCATCGACCGCGCTAACCAACTGGCCAATGAAAAGACGCCAGTCTCAGTGCGGTTGGACCACTATTGTTGATGTCGTTGTCGTTGTCGTTGTCGTTGTCGTTGCCATTGTTGTTGTTGTTCATGGTTCCGTTGTTTTTAATCACTTTTAACCAGCGCCCACAGCATTCCCGCCAGGCAGGAGCAGCTCCAATCCGTGGTCACACAGAAGCTCCAATCCGTGGGCACACAGAAAGGTTCCTCTCCCTGAGCCCCCTACCAACCCCTCCCGCGCTTCTTCCAATAACCCTCTTGTTTTTAATTGTTCTGTGGTGTTGTTGATGCCTTCACACGAGAAACCGTACGAAGCAACCTGCGCAAGAAAAAAGAAACGAAGCTGCTCTTTCTCTCGACTCACCAGCCAGAGGATGAGATCGTCAACTTCGGGATGGACGACATTGCCTGACCGTGCGTTGAGGCACNAGGTGGACGTACAAGCAGCAGGGACAGGGTCATTGTAGGGTGGGAGTCCATAGTGAACACAACGGCAGAGAGAGTCGTGGGGAAGAAGGTACGATGTGGGGGGTGGGGGGGGCGTACTCTTTGTGTTTTGCATGCCTTAGCGGTTAGACCATTGACCACGCGTCCTCGAGAGGACGGAGCATTGTTCCCACAGGACCGATCACTCATGGCCAATTGTTCCTTCCTACTTTGCCGAAGGTTGCTAGAACAATGGAGGGCGGGGGGCGGGGGGGCGGGTACGCAAAATCATTCATGACCGCTAAGCATTCGATTGTGCCATGACGGGAGGGAGCTACACAGCAATGGGTATCACACATGACCGCAAGCACATAGCGGGCAGGGGGGCGGGGGCGGGGGCTGGGGGGAGTATCATGTGAGGCAGCAATACCCTCCCTGTTTATGTGTGCGTTGTTTGCCTACACTTCATCACAACCAACAACAACGGCAACACGGGCACCCATGCCAACAGCAACAACGGTTACAACGACAACAGCAGCAATTACAGCAACATCACCACCACCAACAACAACAACAACAAAAACACCCCCCGCCCCTCACACACACACACACACCACTAACCTCTGCGTCAGCCTGCATGACGAGCCACTGCGCAACGCCAAAGTGACCCCTACCAATTCACCACTGACCTCCGCTCCCGCCTCCCTGACGAGCCATTGCGCGACGCCCAGGTGACCCCTCTCGCACGCGAAGAAGAGAGGAGTGCACCCGTCCGTATTGGCAGCCTGCGCGTCCGCCCCCGCTGTTTTGACGAGCCACCGAACCACGTCCAGGTGCCCCCTGCCACAGGTCAAGGTTTACGAAGCGGCGCGAGCATCGAGAGTTAAGGAGATGTCGTTTCAAGGTTGTGCTTGTGGTGCTGAACCAAAGGACGCGGGCATCGAGCGTCCATGGTAGGTGTCTACAAAGGTTATTGGTTACGGTTTCACCAAGGTTGTGTATATGGTGATGCTCAACGGCAAGAACCGGCATCGAGAGTTAAAAAGTGTCTCCGTACGGTTGGGATTACATGGTACGGTATACACAGAAAGGCAACTTGTAGGGCTTATGGAATGCCACAAAAAGCGTGGCCAGTGAGTGTAGCAGACGAGCTCTATCTGCAAACAACAGCCAAGCGCCGTCAACAGTAGCAACAAAAAACACCAACAGCAGCCACCTTAGCGGTAGCGCCACAACCGCCCCTCACACCCACGGCAACGAAAACAGCATCACAATCAACACCAACACCACCAGAAGCAGCAGCAGCAGCAGCAGCAGCAGCAGCAGCAGCAGCAGCAGCAGCAACGAAAATCAACACCACCGACGACAACAACAACACAGACAACAGTTAGAGCTGCACCTACCCGAAAGATGCCCAGTGTAGCGGTGTCGAGCCCCGGAGAAGGTCCGGTGCATCCGCTGGACATCCCGTCTGCCGAACGTATCACAACATGAGCGAGAGAGGGAAAAAATAAGGACGAGTGTGTAAGAGAGAGAGAACAAAGGCAGAGCTATATATAGAGAGAGGGGGTGTACGAGAGTGTGCGTGAGAGACAGAGAGACAACAAGAGAGCGCGAGAGCGCGAGCGTGCGAGAGAGACAATTGGACCAACACGGATACTCGATTTGGAGTGAGAGTAAGGACCGGAGAGATTGATACGGTGAAGAACAACAACAACACCAGCAGTTTGTGAATTTGGGCGAGAGAGCGAGTAGACGTGCGCGTGTGTGAGAGCGAGGGAGATAGTTAAAGAAAAAACAAGGCAGAGAGAAAGGGATGGAGGGAAGGAGAGGACGAGAGAGAGAGAGAGAAAACGAGATAGAGCGAGAGAAACTCAGGTACCCTGCATCTCCTGGCGGGTTGTCGTACAGCGACGGTAGCGTTCGCGTTTTTTTTCTACTCAATGAACACGTTGCATAGAGCCTGCAATCGGGGAATTTCGGTACAAGGGTTAGGGTTAGGGATAGGGTCTGCGTAACCGCTCCCTGTTCTACTTCCTCATGAGCTTAACTGCTCGCGACGCCGGTCCTGCAGAGGGCAGTGCCTGCTGCAACCTACCGGACAGGGGAGGACGATTAAACTCCTCGCGAAGGCTACACTGGAAAGATCTCGTCCTCGAGCCGAGGGAGAGCTACAGCAGTTCACTAGCGCTTGCATGCAAGTCCTTGGTATCGATAGTAAGTTATTTGAGCTACGAAAAATAAAGATCAAACGGCTACACTGGAATCTCGTCCTCGAGTCCAGAGAGAGCTACAGTTACTGGCGCTTGCACGGAAGAACTTGGTATTACGAAGTACTTCAAAAAAGTGTACGAAATTGAGTCTCAAGATACTCAAAACTAAAAACGGGAGCATTATTTGTGAGGTCGCCAAAAAAACACACACACTAAAACCTATATAGCGGCCATTCGTAGCATGACCCTAGGAATACAGTAGCAACCCCAGCCTCGGCCATAACCAGAGCTTCTTATAAGTATAAGCACTATTGATGAGCTCGGTTAGAAACCCCTACGGTAAAGCCTATATAGCGGCCAATTGTAGCATGACCCTAGGAATACAGCAACACCACCAGCCTCGGCCATAACCAGAGGGTCTTACGTGCGGGGGCGCTCTGCGTAGGGTTAAGAATATCATACTAAATCCTACTTTTGTGTAAAAAAAACACGTGTAATGTAGAGATACCTCGGCGCATACCGCAATCATCGGGGTCTTGGCGCATTGTGCTGTCGCTCGTATAAATGTTTCGAACTTCAGACTTTTTTCGCACAGGTGTGTGCGAAGACCCCGATATGTGCCAAGTTCGCGATACATGCGCGGAAATGCAGTAAAATATTTTGTTTCCAAGAAACAACGCACACCCCTGTGCCAAGTCCCCGGTATGTGCGATCCTAACGTTGAAAACCACAGGAGAGGGTAGCACTTCGCGTGTATGGTATTGCTGCAACACCATCACAACACAACCAAGAGACAAGCAATATAATAGTAGCTGCACACACAAAACGAGTCTCGGGAAATTGCCACCACAACAGTTCCGTGGCGGAGAAATACCGGCGGAAAATCGGGAAAACGCCCGGGACGGAGCTGCGGGCTCGACTACACGCAACGCGCGGCTACGATGTCGGAGGGTGCAAGCGCGGGACCTGCCGACGCCTCACAGGCCTCGCAGGCTAGTGCTGGCGGTCCTTCCTCTGCGGATCAGGGAGCTGCCGCTGCGGACCCGAAGGCAACCGGCCAGGCTATCGATGAGATGCTAGCCGCCAACGACCCCGTCAAAAACAGCAACGGCAAACGCGCGTACCCGGAGCCCAACTTCCCGATCGAGCCGTCAGGCACAGTGGAGTAGTCGAACTTTGAATCATAGTTCTTTGGGATTGCCAGTGAGATTGGATGTTTTTGCGATGGTAGGGGCGCGAAGTAGAGTTCAACCCGCCTAGGAAGTACAGTAGTAGGACGTCGGTAGCTCGTAGTGGTAGTGTGGTGTGATTTTTTACTTCGATTGTGGTTTCATCTACGTTTAGAATTGTTGAGTGGATGCCGTTTGCCGATTTGCCGATCTTGATTCTTCAGAACGAAAAGAAGAGAACAAAGAGTACGAATACCACATTTTTGAACATCGTCATGGTGCCAAGGGCAGCAGTAGCAGTGGAGCACGCGATTCAAGCTCCCACAGTATCCGGAATTTCCAGCACAAGATGCTGGTGAAAGGGTATCACTTACCGCCAAAAACGAAGCGCAGTAGCCTTCGCAGGGTTTTTCTACAACGTCAACATGTTGGATAAACAATGCCATCGGGGGAGCTGGGTTAGGGTGAGTGTTAGGCCATATTGTCTGCGTACCCCCTCCCTGTTATATTTCCTCATACCTTGTATCATATACAACACAAGATAACACACCACCTGGACCGATTTTCAAAGCTGGATTTCTCAACAGCAGAGAGAGTCACGGCGCCGAAAACCGCGGAGTCGAAGCCGCCTGGTAGAGAGCTTTCCGAAAACGCATCGCCTCGTTTGTGCATTCTCTTCTTGGTCGTGGACTAATCGACCTTTGAAAATCGGTCCTAGGAGGTGTGTTTCCTTGAGTCGAATGCGGTCACATGCTAGTTTGGGAAATGGACACAAGTGGGTATTCCCACCCCGTTCTCGAACAAAGGTGGGTACTCAAAAATCCGGCTCGCGCGATTTCCATAGGCGAGCCTCAAACGCTCAAAACCCAACTCTGACACCTGAACAACATAGCCAGGGACCATACACAGCAAGGACTTCCGACTGTCAGGCACACCTTTGGCCCAAATACCGCCGAGGCGCGCACATTAATTTCTCGCGAAGGCGGTCCATGAAGCGGCAGCCCCTGGGCGGGTCAATCCACAAGAGTCAAAACACCGTACTGCTGTAGGTTGCAAAAGATGCCGCACGCACCTTGAACCGGCCTTCAAGGGTCGGAACACCGCAAGAGTCGGAACACCGCAAGAGTCGGAGAGATGGCACCCCCTCACCCCCTCGGTGTTTGCCATCGGGATTGGGTTTTCGCTGCTTGGCAACGACCTTGTATGACAAGCCAAATCACTTCGTGGACTCGGCAACCAGGTTACCGTTTTCGTTTTTCTACCTCCGTTTTTTTTTTGGCGGTAATCATGAATGGTGGTCGAGTGGATCATGTAGTACGGGGTGGAGAACCCTCACTCCGCGCAAGGGGGATGATCGCACCACGTTGTGTTAAATTGGTCAAGCACCCTCGAGGCAGTTACACAGTGCTTACAACTGTCTCTTGAAGTGAAAGCACCAGAAAATAAACTAAGTCATATGGTCCGTGCACAAGTAAAAATCCCAAAATTTCCCAGCACAAATGACAACTTTTCTCTGCACAC